AATGGTTAAGTAGTGGTGAGGTGGGTAGAAATAAAGAAATAAAATACCAATGGCAAGAATTATGAAGCAACCAAACTTATGATTCTGTGTCCACCAAAGGAAAAAATGAGCTGTGACCACAAAGAGCTACAGGAGTAGTGCTCAAAGCAGAAATTCAGCAACTACTCCACAGCAAATAACCTTTTTTTTTATCATAAAAAAAAGAAAGACTTGCACAGATCTTGCATTTCAGTTTGGCCGCAGCCCAGCAGGACAGCTCTGTGTGAGTGGTTGGGAACTCAGGATGTGTTAGCTTTAGATACAAAGGAGCAGCACCTTTGTGGCAGGTGCTGTTTCGGCAAGAGTTGGCAGAAGGGATGGGGTGGGCAGGGTTGAGTTGTCCTCTATTCCATATACTCCTTGCGATTCTGCTGCCTTTATGGAACTTGCTTCTACCTTTTTCTTTCTCATGCTCCTTGTTTTGTTTAGACTGTATTTAGTGAATTATTCCAGACTCCAGAGCAAGGAGTAAGTGGCAAGGCAGGAGTAGCTGCTGTGTGGCTGTGGTTATGGGTGTGAGGCAGTACTGTCACTGGGGTTTGGCATTGCGTGATATGTAGTTAGAGAGTCTTTGAAGTGCTACTTTGTCTAAGCGTGTATGCTCTGAGACATATACACACATAATTCATCAAAATTAAACCCTGAATCAGATTGTGTAAAACAAAGGGAGGGAAAGGTACTTATCTCAGTGGTTAAGACACCAAGTAAGATGCCTGGGTCCTATCTGCTTTGCTTGGGTTCCATACCTGACTCTAGCTGTCTAGCAGTGCAAATTTTGGGATGCAGTGATGTGGATTCAAATTGTTGGATCTCTGCCACCCACAAAGGAGACCTGGACTGAGTATCTGGCCTCCAGGTTGGCCTGGCCCAACCTGATTCTTATGGGCACTTGGGGAATGAACCAGTGGATAAAGCTTTTTTTTTTTCTCCCTTCTACCTTCCCTCTCTCTCAAATACATTTAGAAGGAAATTGAAGGAAGCAGAACCATTAAGCCTGTGCCTACCTGAGAACCATGCATTATGAAGGAGGCCTTTGGTCTTTTTACATTAACTCTCTTAGAGGGATTCTGGGAAGAGCCACTACAGAATGGCAGCTCTCTCTCCATCCAATTCTGCTGGATATAGGGCCTCTCGTTTGCTGAAGAGGATTCTTTTTGTCTGACAATGAAGATACTTTCAATAAAAATCTATTATTATTGCGGAGTCTAAGGGCCAGGGTTTGCTTTTGAAAATTAAACTGTCGCCCTGGCAGATTGGTGTCTGCATAATTTTCTCTGTGTGTTGAGATAGCTCTCTAGGCATCCATTGGCTTAGGCTTCAGTATAATGAGATTCTTGGTCTGTTTCCTGGAGACTCTATAGACAAGAATGTTTCTTTTTTTTGTGCCCGTGACAGTGACCGAGACATATGAGCAGCCATCCTCCGCCCTGTGAAACACCCACTCAGTCACAGCTGTGAAATGAGCACAAGGAGTGAGCAAGGCCAAGGCCTGTGCATTTTGTCCAGTGATTAAATGTAGTGCTATGTTGCAGGAACTCCTTAGAGTTGAGCTTTCCCCACACATACCAGAGGAGTACAAGATGTAAAATAAAAAACCAGACATGAAGATTGCTAGAAGAGAGGCAGGAATCTTTGTTCCAAGATTTTTCTTTATGAGCCTATGCAGTATTGTGGACATCTTAAATAAAGAAGATTTGTGCTGAGTGGCAAGGGTAAGACTGCTTTAATCATTTTGCCCTTGAGGTTCTTCCAGAGCCTTCTAGTTCAACAACTATGTTGGTGATGTAGCCAATTTGCCTTTTAGCTCCAGATTTTGTTGTTTTTGCACAACACAAACATTTTCTATAGGACACATAATCTCACTTTCTTGCGTTAATGCCATGTTTAAACAGCATGAATAGTTCTAATGACTGAATGTGTGGGTACCTAGGGTGACCTTCTAGGTGATATCATTTTTAATTCAAATAAAAAGATAACCACAAGGAATACAGGGTAGACCCAGGACATCTACAGTTCTGCCTCTTTGCCCTGACACTGAAGAGCCTGATGACTTTGAAGGCTTCCTACTAGTCTTGGGGACCACTTATGGGAGCCCTAAGATTTTTTTCAAGCAGAGTCTGAAGAAGCAGGGTTGTTTCATGAGTGGATAAGAAATTTTTTAGGAACATGACTCTTATATGTTGTGAACGTCTGTGTTTAGAACCTTCGAGTGGTTTTCATTCATGTGTCTTGCATTGTGCAAGGCACAGGTTGTCGTCATGAACTAAATAGCAAAAATCCCTGCCTTCATGAAGCTTAGCACATTTGTTAAATGAGAAATAAAGAAAATGATAGAAAGTAATGTACATCAATGAAGAAATACATCAAAGAGCAACTGGACTTGACAGTGCCAAGAAACAGTGGTGTTATCAAATTCCATAGGTTTACAAAGCAACTTGTGTATAAATAGTAGACAGAATTTTGCCTGCTGCTAACTTTATGGATATCATTTGTACTAATATCTTATTGGATGTTTCATACTATGCCCAACTTCTAGTAGTAGTTTGTAAACAACATGAAGATGGGGATTATAAAGCTTAAATCTTGCCTTCTCCCACAGCTTTGATTCCATTGAAGTAGAGGCTTCATTGAAGATGCCTTCCACTTTTGTATTAAGTGAATTAGACATCTTTGATAACATCATGCAAATGTAATCTTGGGCGTGGCTGTTTTATAAGCTTATATCTATTGCTTTGTAGGCCATATGTGAATGTTGTTTCCAAGGAAGAATGGTAGTATTGTTGAACTTCTTAACCTGGCATTCATAGTAACCTTTGCCTTGCAGCCTAGGGTAGATTACAAGGAAAACTAATCATTTTTCTCTTTTTGTTTCCCTCCTCTGGAGAAGTTTGCTTCCTTAGTATGAAATTCACAGGAGGGACAGCCCATAAATGCCTAACCAAAACCAACTGGCAACAGTTGTCTCTTAGTTCATATTTAGCTCTGAAGATCATCAGACCTTGTGGTCTGATCCAAAATATCCCAGTTGCTGTCAGGAATTTCTTCTTTATGCTCCTTCTAAATATAATTCAGGCCTGTTTGTCTTTCTCATGGTTATACGTGGTTGAGGCAGACAACCCAGCTGATGTGATAAGTTGCCAGCCCTGTCAAGGAGCCCTTCTGTGGGTATTGTGCAAGGGGCAACACAAAGCCACCTGCTGTACCAGCAATGTGGGCCAGGCCACTCCCTGGGCTCCCAGGGGCATTCTCTTCAAAGCGTTGTTAGTTGGAGATTGTGAGGGCCAACACGTGTTCAGATGAGCTTTAAGAGGATTTGTTAAAAGCATGCAGAGGCAGCTAGTGGAAACTGAGATCTGGAAGTGAGCCATGAGGGGTGTGCCAGTCAAGCTAATGGGGACTACTGTAAGGGGTTAGCTCTGGGCTGTGGTAACTTAGCATGATGGACACCAATTCCCCACGCTCACAAATATCAGTAGTCTGGCAGGATAGGCTATGATCCATATTGTCGCTCAGCCACCCATGATAGCAGAGCTCTGGTGCTTTCATCCCAGACATCAGCAGCCAGTCAGCCCATTGGCAACCAGAGAGAAGATTAGAAGGTGCTTCTATGGGCCAGTCGTGGATATAGTGCATACCACATTCTCCCATAAACCAGCCATGTGCCCATGGTGTGCTTGTAGAGAGCCTGGGCCACAAAGTAAAACCATCCCATAGGAAGAAAGGGAAGAAAATTCACCATCTTTGCCACACCAAGGGAACTACTTCCAAGGGCCTGGCAGAGCCGTCTGTCCTATGCCTGTTCCTGTTCAAATGAGGAGGACAAAAGATGCTGTTTACTAAAAAGAGAAACATACTGGTTTTTCAGTTACACCAGCTGCCCAGAGAATTGATGAAGACTGAGTGTGAGAGACTGCATTGTGTGTAAGATTCAGATTATTGAGAGAAATTGAGACTGTGTGTGGGAGAGATTGAGATTGTATCTGGGAGTGAGATTGAAATTGAGTGTGAGAGAGAGACTTAGATTGTGTGTTTGAGAGAGATGGAGTTTGAATTTGTGTGTGTAAGAGAGAAATTGAGATTGTGAGACATTGAGATTATGAAAGAGAGATTGAGTTTGAGCTTCTATGTGAGAGAGGTTGTATGTGACACATTCAGGTTGTATGAGATTGAGATTATGTGTGTGAGAGAGAAACTGATACTGTATGTGAGATTCAGATTGTGTGTAAGAGAGATTCAGATTGCATGAAATTGAGATTGTGTGTGTGAGAGAGATTGTGAGTGAGATTATGTGAGATTGAGATTGAGCGTGTGTGTGAGAAAGATTGAGACTGTGTGTGTCAAAGAGGTTGAGATTGTGTGTGAAGGAGATTGAGTTTGAGGGAGATTGATTTTGAACTTCTGTGTAAGATAAAGATTTAGATCGTGTGAGAGAGGTTCAGATTGAGTTTGTGTGATGTTGAGATTATATATGGGAGTGATATTCCATTGTGAAAGATGGAAATTGTGTGAGACTGAGATTCAGTGTGTGTGTGAGAGAGAAATTAAGACTGTGTTGTGTGAGAGATTGAATTTGAGCTTTTGTGTGAGAGAAAGATTGAGATTGTGTGAGATTCAGATTGTGTGAGAGATTGATATTGTGGGTCAGAGAGATTGAGATTATGTGTGAGAGAGAGCTTGAGACTGAGCTAGTGTGTGTGAGAGAGCAGCACAGCTCTGATGGGAATGAGAGCACAGGCCCTGCCCATGCCTATGAGGGTATCCTCTGGACCTACAGAACAGAAGCCATCTCCCTGCAAGGCATCTCTTCCAGGGGCCATGTTTATTAGCCTCACAGGTCACAGCTCTGAAACATTGGGGAAGGTACAAGTGTCGCTGCCAATGTGCTGGATCTAGGTCGACAGGACGGGTTTCTTTTCTTGGGTTCTGAAGAGAAGTCGGTGCTCAGATAGCTCCAATGTCAGGCATTGCTGAGGGAGAAATGGTCTCTTGTGTGTTTTCTGTAACAGAATCAACAGTTAAGACAAGCTCAGAAGCAAAGTCCTTGAGTAGATGTACAAGAGTCTTTGTTCTCTCCGCCAGAAGCTATGGGTTTCTAATTATGAAGGGAGGAAAGCGACTCTTATGAAGGGTGTCATTGTGTACTAAAATATCCTTGTTGTGTTATTGCCGTGCTCTTCATGAAATACATGCTACTTAGGAAAACACCATGTCCTTTTCCCTAAGGATATGAACTAACAGTTTTCTCTTCCTTTTTTCTTTTGCACTTGCCTTTGCAACCTGCTGATGTGCGGCTGTGTCCAATTGCACCGGAATTCCTTCATTTTTCTCACCTACCATCAAAAAGGTAAGGAACTGCAAAATTCAGTGAAGGGCTAAGCAGGTGCAGTGTGACCTCAGGGAGTTCTTTAAGAGAAAGGTGATGCGTTGTAAGGGTGTCCTTTTTTGTGAGTCTAGCTGATTGATGCCAAGTCTCCTAAGGCCTGGTGTTGTGTGGCATTCAAGCCTAATGAGTGTGTGTGTGTGTGTGTGTGTGTGTGTGTGTGTGTGTGTGTGTGTAAGACAGAGAGACAGAGAGCTGGAGAGGAATGTGCCTGTGTGAATTTTTGTCAGTCACCCACAAGCACAAAAAACATTCCAGTTATGCTTCATCAGCACCAGAATTTTTATAGGTAAAAGTGAGAGGAGCATTAGCACTGCTCTGTCTACATGCTTTGAAGTAATATAAGAAAAATTGAAGCAAGTGCAATCTGAGCTTTATGTGTGATGACAGGGGACACAGTACTCTGCCTTTTGTCTTGTTTTGCCTTTTTTTCCTCTCATAGTTAAAAAGAAACCACATAGCACATACCAAATTGTCACTGTTTTTAACGGTGTAGTTCAGTACTGTGGGCACATTTGCAATGTTGTGCAACTGGTTGCCAAAACTTCTTGTTATGTCTATTAAACAACGTGCTCCCTTTGCTCATTGCCTCCAGCCCCTAGCAATCATTGCTGTGCTTTAGATACCTTATGTAAGTGGAGTCCTGCAGCATATGTCTTTTTGTGACTACCTGATTTTGCACTCCAAGGGTAAACTCCTCAAGGTTCAGCCATATTTTTGTGGGTAACAGCATTTCCTTCCCCTTTGAAAGCTGAATAATAATCTGTTGTGTGTATGCCCTTTGTCTTGATCCTTCCATCCGCTAAGGAACATTTGGGCTACTGTCATCTCTTGGCTATGTGTGTGCTGCTGTGGTGAACATGGGTGTGCAAATATCCCAGCACATCTTGTCACTGGATGAATTGTGCATATCCATTCTAAAAGTGAGTTATTACTGTTTCTTGCATAGCCACACCCTTCAGGGTTGGTGCTTCCCTAGGGCTCAGCATTCACCAGGAGGCTCAGTGGTTGACCAATACTTACCCTCTGTTGGGTAACCCGGTATCCTTTGTCTTCCCTACAAATTTGGGGTAGAAGGCAATGGAAGCACATGTTCTCCCTCCATTAACATTCCATGCTCAGGATGCTCTTCTTCCAATACATTGTTGCAAGTGTTGTTGTAATATATATTACTTCCTGTCCATCATGTGAGCTCAGGATTGGTTGTGAATCAATTCTTACTGCTCTGTAGTTGGAAAAAGCCTGTTGGGTTGTAATTTTTTGTACTAAGAAGATGAAGGCAGGCACTATGTGAAATACCCTTTTCTGCCTTTTCTTGCTCGCTTCCTGCTAAGCATGCTGGGCCGGGTGAAGGTGAGTGCTGCCTGTGGTGCCATGGGCCCGTGATGGGTGTCGAGTTTTGCTGCAGAAAGGAGCTGCTTCCCTGTGTTCTCTTGAGTGCTTAGGAGTCTGTGAGAATTGTGGCAGGGGTAGGAGCTAATGAAGTGAATGGCTGGGAGGTTTTGCTGATGTTCAGGCTGTGGGAGCTGGCACAGCTAAACTACAATCCCAGATCTTCAGGAATGATAGATCTAGGTAGAGGTTGGATTCACCTTTGGATAACCAAACGAGGAGAAAACTAACCTTCTGACTCTTAAAAAAAAAAGCACCAGGAACACAATTCTTAGTGGGCAATATTAGTGGTCTCAAGAGAGATCTTCCATGTACTGGTCCAGTCCCCAAATGTCAGCAACAGCTATATTTGCAGCCAGCTAAAACAGGGAACTGGGCAGTCAGAGTCTCCTAGATGGGTGGACAGGACCCAAGTACTTGATCCAGTCTTGCTGACTTCCAGGATGTGCACCACAAGGAAATGGCAATCGAGAGCAGAGCTGGGATTTAATCTCAGGCACTCTGGTGTAATGGTGCCTTACTTGCAAAACTAAACACCTGCCTAGAGACTGGGTTCTTGGGCTGGAAGACAGACTTTGTAGCAGGGTTTGTAGCAAGTGTAATGTGTTGGACCTTTATGAGATACCAGAGCAATGAAGAGGCCACAGGCCCCTATGCAGGCAACAGGCTAGGAAGGGACTCTTGACCCAGGCTGGTCAGTGACATTGGAGGCTGTGGAAACTGCTTGGCAAATGTTCTTCTAAATAGTGCTTGGTGAATATCCCTATGTGCTCTGCTTGGAAATTAGATGTGTCTTGCATTATACCTAATCTGCCTGCAGTGCATGATTTAATACTCACAAGTCAATTTAATGATCGGAATGTTTGTTGGGAAATCCAGTGCCAGCTATTTCTCGAACATCTATAATGAGGAGGTTGGAAAGCAGGTTTTCTTGTGTGTTATATGGGCCTAGGGAGTACCTCTTTTGTGTGTGTCCAAAAGTTCGTACAATTGATAAAATGCAATAAATCTCTCTTGTGGTTTTATTTACTTTCACATTAATTTGGCAGTAAATGAGACTGGATGGTGGTTACTTAATGTGTTCAATTTTTAGTATACTTTATTATTTTAAAAAATGATGACTTCCTTTTAAATTTTATTTTTTATGTTGTAAATCAACAAATTACAGTTGTATATATTTATGTGTATGTTTACGGTTTGTGGAGACAATGCAGAATAATTAAATCAAGTTAATTAGCATATCCATCATTTCAAATATTTTTTATTTTTATGGTGATAACATTTAAGCTTTATTCTTGGCAATTTTGAAATACACAATTATTTATTATATTCTTCTTTCTGTTTGATATGCCTCAAAGGAAAAACAAGCTGCATACTTCTCTCTAACTAAGACCTTGGATACTTCACTACCATCTCCCCATTTCTTTCATTCTCTAGTGTCTCTAATCACCATCTAACTGTCTGCTTCTATGATTTCAGCTGTCTTAGATCCCACACATAAATGAGAACATGTGACATTTGTGATTCTATGCCTGGTTTATTAGCATAATGTTCTCCAATCCATCCATGTTTCAAATGACAGAATGCCCTTCCTTTTTAAGACTGAATAGTGTTCCAGTGTATACATACACCACATGGTCTTCACCCATTCATTGTTGATAGACACTTTAGATTGATGCCAGCACTTAGCTGTGACTTACCTGTTGTGAATAATGCTGTAATGCAATTCCCTCTTCAATAAATAGATTCCAAGTCTTTTGGCTAAATACCCAGAGGGGGAATAGGTAGATCATGTATAGTAAATCAGCCTTTCTCTCTCTCTCTTTCTCTCTCTCTTTCTCCCCATCCATCCCTATCTTTTTTTTTAAGGATATGTATACAGTTTTCCATAATTGCTGTATTCATGTGCCTGGCCACCAACAGTATGCAGCGGTTCCATTGTCTCCATGTATTGTGATGTACTTAGGTTGAAATTAATAACACAGAGGGGCAGATGTTTAGCATACTAATCGAGAAACCATTTGGAATGACTGCATCTCACATCAAAGTACCTGGGTGTGTGTGTGTTCCGGTTTCCTTCCCAATTCTACCTTCAAGTGATTGGGTCCCTGCCAGCCACACTGGGGACTTGGACTGAGTGTTCACCACCTGCTTCAGCCTGACCCATCCCCAGCTATTGTGGGCATTTGAGTTATGAACCAACTGATGGAAAAGTCTCTCTGTTCCCTCTGTTGTTCTTGCTCTCTTTCCCACACTCTCTTAACTCTTCTCTCCCCACCCCATCTCTCATCCTTTCAACGAATTTTTAAAAAATGATACATAAAGACAGACACATAAGGACAGCGCTGTGGCACAGAGGGTTAAGTGGCTGTTTGCAACACCGCCATCTCATATTGGAGTGCAAGTTCAAGTCCAAACTGCCTAGCATCTAATCCAGCTCTCTGCTGATAACACACTGATGCATCCAGGAAAGCAGTTGTAGCCTACCAGCCCAGTGGGAGATCTGGCTTCAGCTTGGTTCAATCCTGTTGTTGGGGCCATCTGAGAAATGAACCAGCAGTACACTTAAAATCTCTGTCTCTTTCTCTGTAGCTGTACTTCACAACTAAAGAGTAAATCTTTTAGAAAAATGTTTATGAATGGGGAGATGCGACTGATGAGAAGAGACAGTTGGAAACCGCAAAATATGCAAACAGGGAGGAGTGCACAGTAGTCTGTCCAGAAATCTGAGTTTTAGGTTTGGGCTAGAGGCAAGCTCTGGAATAGGGACAGGGATAATCTCTACATCCAAAAATACAGCTTAAAAGGGTCACCCAGAGGGTCAGGAAAGGCAAAGGGGAAGTAGCACCCCTGGAACCCAGGCAGAGGCACTCTGCAAGTGCATAGTGAAGAGTCAGAACAGAGCCCACCCTGGTGCTGAGTACAGCCAATGTCCTAGGGAGTCTTTAGAAATGTTCCCATGGGGCACAGCACAATGACTCAATTGGCGAATTCTTCCCCTGTAAGTGCTGGGATCCCATGTGGGTGCTGGTTCATGTTCTGGCTACACCATTTCCCATCTAGCTCCATGCTTGTGGCTTGGAAAAGCAGCAGAAGATGACCCAATGCCTTGGGACCCTACACCCATGCAGGAGACGTAGAAGAATCTCCTGGCTCCTGACTTTGGATCAGCTTGGCTCTGGCTATTGCAGCCACTTGGGAAGTTAACCAGTAGATGGAAGATCTTGTCTTTCCTTCTCTCCCTAGTATCTGTCTTTTCAATAAATAAATAAATAAATAAAAATAAATAAAAATAAATCTTTTTAAAAATTGCCATGACCCAGCCTCACCTCATAAAATTAACTCCAGATGTCTTATGGGATATGTGAGGTGGGGGGTTGCAGATAGACGTTGTTTCTGTTTACTTCTGGTTCTTAAAGCATTTTAAAAGGATTCTTACATCCATGCAGTGTTTACAACTGAAGGGAAGTAACATGGTGAAATTCTAATGGATGTTCCAAAAAGCAGGTCCCTGGAACAACTGCAGTGCAGTTTTCAGTGTAAGTGTGATGCCAAAGGGAGCTAGATTGGAT